TATATATATATATATATATACACGCATGCACATGCTGGCTCACATTCGAGGTAGAAATCCAGACTCTTATTTCGTTTATTTCTACCATTTCCATTTTACACCTGTTTAAACAGCATCTTCATGCATATCCTTTACGTTTTATTCTTCCTTCGCAGCTACCTTTTCTATAACAATTTTGACTACCACCTCCACTTGACTTATACTTTCTTATTCCTTCGACTTCCATTTCTCTATTATATGGCCATTTGTGCAAGACTAATCTCTTCCAACATCACTTCATCTTTGTAACTGGCTCACACCAATTTGATTAAAACGTATACTTTGGGAACGCTATGCATTCCGCTATTTTGATGTCGTCTCTACAGTCAAGCATTGACTCCAACCTGGACGCTCGTACCGACGAATGGATCGGTCGTGTGAGGCGCTTTACCCTTAGCCAAGTGAACACTGAAGGCCTACAGCACCCGTTGGTAGCCGCCCGACGTCAGAGTACCTTCGCTCAGTCGGGCCAATCTTCAAGCCATTCGCTCTTCTATAAAAAGGGCGCCCAGTGATGGCAGAACTTTTTCTTCCTTGCATATCTATTGAAATATCTATCAACATATTTAGCTGGATAATTACTAACTTATCATTCGTCCATTTTTCCACTTTCTCCCAATTCTTTTATAAATAGACTTATGTAACTCTAAACGTCAATGTATTATCATCCGCAGCACTTTGTTAAACCTCATTCTATCCTCTATCTAGTTTATTTTCAGACTGGTGTTCTTTTTTTTGATCCTACGCGCTCCATTTCCATTTTCACATTTTCTCTTCCTTCTCTCTTGTCCATTTTTTTCTATGGCTATTCCGGCTCGGTTTCTCACTTATTTGTATTCTTTCCTATTACTTGAACCTACAGTTCATCTGTTCTTAGGACTAAATGTGAAAGGGAGAACGAATTCACGTTTTGCCTTCAATTGATGCTTGTTGTCTTTATTTATAGTTTGCCATACTCAAAGAATTTTTGTCAAATGCTGCATCTCACTATGGAAAATCACCCATTTTCTCCCTTTGAAACAATATGTATTCATTTTATGGCCTAATCTGCTATGCAGCCAATCAGTCATTCAACCAAAATTATCTTTATGCTTTATTGTCTCATTTATTTATTCATCAAATTGTATATATCCGTAGGTACTAACGATTATCTTTGGTACATTATATAGCAGCCTATCGTTCCGGTATCTTGCTAGCCCAACTGCCCATTCTTCATTTCTCTCCTCTTTATCTGCTCGCCCATCTTGTTTGACCCAATTTGTCGCTGCTTCTATGTATACTATCTCCTTTGCTAATTCTCTACTCCTCTTATACTCACGTTTTCTTCGCATTTATATGCCTTATTGTTAGCTCTATCTTCTTTTCATTTTTTAATTCTTATCTCCTCCTGCTAGTTCCTTAGCTCACCCTGTCTTAATACTTCTCTTGCCTACATTTGCTCATTGCTCATTTTCATCCTTTAATTTTATTTCACCTTCTTTTAGCACTCATTTCTTTGCTTACTTTCTAGTGCCTAATTCACTTTTCCATATTTTTTAAAAATTATACTACTCACTACTTTTTTTATTTTTGCCTAATGCACCTTATTTCATTTTTCCGCTCGCCCCTTATTTTTCCAATCATTTTACCTGTCCTTTTTGCCTTTTCTGATCTCAGCCAACAATCTTCTAGGAATATACATGTTTGGCTTAAGCGTCTTTTGTAATTTTTCTCTTTGTCTCTATCATTTATATCCTCGTTATTCATTTTGCTCTCTCTCTCCTTATTTTACACGCTTCTAATTGTGGGCAGTATTTCTGAACCTTTCAACTTTTTGTTACTTGTGATTTTGGACTTTTGTATTTCCCTTTGTGGTCCTCTGTACTCCTCTATCAACTTGCTATAAATCTGGAGTCACATGCTTTTGCTATTAACATCTGCTCGCAAACATCGACTTTTAGAATAAACACTTATTTGTCCATTCTTTCTCCTATTCCTTCCTTTGAACCTTCATTGTGGCGCCACTAGCCAAGGATATAGAAAAATTTTACTTTATCTTCTTCTTAGATCATCTCGGTTTGCTGCACTATTTGTAAAATGCCTTTTTGTCGACCATGCCAAGCGTGAAGCTGACTTTTACTCGCGCTTTCTTAAAGTCCCACTGCATTGTTATTCTAGTTGTGTATTTCCTACAAGCGTTCTTCACACACCATCATTTGTTCGATGTTCATTCTATCGACGACTGCTCTCGGCATAACGCTTCTTCTCTCTCGCATTCTACCAGTGGTCGAATACTTGTGAACCCTCCCGCATTTGTAATACGGAACCTCACACTATTCAGCTGCAAGAACCTCTTTTTTGCCCTTCTTCCCCACAAGCGCATATACCTTCTCTTTCTGCTTCTGCAGTTCTCCATTCCTTCTCTATTCTGTCCCCATTTCGACGGTTTGCGCTCTTCCATCCCTCCATCTCTGCATTGTGTGGATGCATGGGCTACCTACCGGCCACAATCGCAGCAACTTTGGTGGCTGCCTCGCGAAGTCACACAACCAGCCTCACACCTCGCGGGTGCATGTCATTCCCGCCGTCTAGCCGGCCCGGGCTAAATTAGCGTAAGCGAAATCAGACAAATTGGCATAGCTTTGCTACCGAACTTCCTTGCCTAGTCTCGATAGCGGCCCGATGTTTTAGCCTAGCCTCCCTTCCATCCGAGCCATGCACGTCTTTTCAACTCTCTCATCCACCCTCAACTGGCTTGCCTCTGCATGCTCACTGTGCCAGAGAGATGCTTGCCATCCCTGTTGGCGCCCTCAGCCCAACAAACCCTCGCTCTGCGCTGGCACCAAGTCTCGCATTAACCTCTTCCGACCATCGTGTAGACCCGTTGCGCCGCCCGATGCGTGCAAACCTCGAAAGGCCTCAACTGTCATGCCTGCCGGCAGGAGAGAGCTGTACGATTGTTGAACTCTTTTTTGCTCTTGCGCTGCATAAATGGCATTCATCCACAACTGCCTCATCACACCGACATGGCTGATCCGCGTTATGCTGCATTGGCATGCTCTCTTCTTTACCCACATTGCCCGATACAATGCTGCACACACCCTTCATCTCTCCACCCTTCCAGACCATCATTAGCCCCTTCATATCTACAACCTATATCTATCTATCTATCTATCTATCTATCTATCTATTCATCCATCCATTTATATATCAATCACAACAACCAAGAAAAGTAGTTTGATAAACCTGCCATCCCTAGTTGGGGTATTTGCATTAGCCTCGTTGTTCCAACATGTCCTCTTTTCCCTGGTCCTTGTGACGCATGAATCTCCACAGTTTCCGTGTTGGATGTGTTTAGAGAGCAGGAACAGGGACACAGTTTACAATCTCCACTTGGTCACTCTTGCTTCTGAACGTTGGTCATCTTGTATGGACGACATTCATCTTCAATTCACACTTATTGCGGATGCTCAACACTTTATCCATGCCAAGTCCGTCTGTAAGTCTGCTTTGGTAGGCGGTTTTAGCTGACAAAGCTCTTTATGTCGTACACTATGCCCACCCTTGGGCGACTAATTGTCACCAGGTTCTCCTTTGTTTGCCTTTTAGGCATCTCCAGCCAGGCCATATTATTTACTCCACGCATCCTATTTTGTTTCGTGGCATGCTATCGGCCGAACCTCATTTGACCCTCGTCAGATCTTCTATTTTTGTTTACTTCGGTTCACTCAAATTTAGCGCTATTTGAGTTTCCGACCTCATTTTTCCTCCATTCCTAGGCCTGCTTAAATGATCGCTTTCGCGTCAGAACCTCGACACAAAGCTTGGTTTGCGCAAAGATATCATCTTTCTTTCATTACAATTAATCTTTGGTAGTCGATTCTTCTTTGGTGATATACACAGGTTTACCATTTTATGCATCAGCCGAAGTCTTGACATAGCAGCTCGCATCTTTTATAGTTTACTTTGCACCAATCACTTTGATTTGCCCCTACTATTCCATTTACCTGAGACTCATATGAGTCTTGTCCCTAGTCCATGTTCACTCGCATTTTCCTCATTTCTCTGCTCTGTCGTCGGGTGCTCCGACTCCGATATCACTTGGCGCCTCCATCCCTTCCGAGCTTGCTCGAGCTGCCAGATCTGCTTACTTTTTCCCAAAGGCATGGCCTGATTCTCTCAGCCTGCCCATTTTGCACAATTTCCCAGCCTTAGTTAGGCAGTATCTCGCCATCTTGCAGACGGCCGCTAGCCGCTGGCGCTCTAGTCCGCCCCAAAAGTATTTTTTCAAGGATTTTATTGCAGTTTCTATGCCTCATAACCACTTCCTCTTTAGCATTGTCTCACCTGTGCAAAATCTAGATCAAAATATGCAATTATAGCCTAACTCTAGCATAGTTTTCCATTTGCTCTGCGTCTTAGCTTAACCGATAGTGATTTCGGGTGCAACGGAATGCCTGCTCCTCAGCTGTCAGTGGAATAACTCAGAATTCCGAGACCGACTAATGAGAAAGACTGAGACTAAGCAAAGAAAAAGCCGAATTATTCGTGTCACACGAATAGTGGTTTTTTTGACCCGGTTCAGAGCGGAGCATGCTTCTTAAAAGAAAGGTGGTACTAAAGACGTGTTGCCTTTGAGCATACTGCTTTCCTGCCCTCTGTTACGTGACCAAGGAAGTTTCACATGACTATCAAAATGAACAAATGATCTTCACCAGCATAACTACACAACGTTAGCAAGCGATTCGCCGAGCATGGGTGCACCGGTGGAACTGTCAACAATTAACTGGGACTCTACAAAACCTTGGATACGGACAAGAAAGAAACTGCTGGGCGGAAGCAAAATGGATTGGAATGCATGTAAACTATACGAAAACTGAAGACAATATTGGCAGTATATATTGTGAGTCGGTAAAGTAGGCGATTAGAAAAGGCAATATTTTGAAAAAATATTTTCTCAACGCCTGCAAAATGTAGAATATTTTTGAGACTGGATATTGGCTTCAGCAGGAAAACAAGTTTTAAAGGAAGAGGGTATTGAGCACGAAACTGGCACCAGATGTAAGCAAACTAATTGTATGCTACGAATATTGGTAGCCCCCATCGTCTACAATCTTCGGTGTCTACACTCACTTAAGCCCAGCCTAAGATATCCAGCCGGAGGATTTAACATAGAAAACAATCTCTATTCTACTCTGACTAAACATGTTGCTTGTCGTTCATCGGCTCTGTTGGTACAAATTCAGACACGGTTGAGTTGGACAACATACCTTTGGTTGTAGTAGAAAAACATGAGTACAGCGTTGGCTGGTTCATGGCTAAACTGACTATTGGTATGGTTACTTTCATTTCGTGCAAAAGTGACTGAAGCAGGGATTTGAAGGTCTATCTCATTAGAAGACGAGAACTGATTACGATTTGTCAGTGGTTTGTTTGGGTAAAAACGGACCGAACTTTTGTCCGTCATATATCAAGCATCGTCAGATATGAACTTTACTCTTATAAAGGCTTAAGTTGAAACTGAACCAAGAAGTATTTTTACCTCGTTTTCACAACTTGATCATGCTATCAGAGAGACATAATTAAATGCACCTTGTCCGAAGTCTTTTGCCTTCGTTGTCATCATAATTTCCAACGTCCGACCTTGGGCATAATACACTTCCAGGCGTTTCACCAGCTTGGTAGTTGGCATTGTCAGTGAGTCTTGCCAGTCACAGTACCAAATTGCAACTCGTCACAAAGACAAATTATGTTCATCCCTGGAACAACTTCTTTCCGAAAGATTTTGGTATCACTTTTGTCCTGATGCATTTTCTCCTCCCCCTCTTGATTTGCTGGA